CTCTCCCCCCCTCCCTCGCGATTCTCGTCACAAGGGAGAGACGTCTGCACTTGAGCCAACAGCCGGTGCACCGTCCCCTTCCCACGAGATATTAATTTTTCCGGAAGTAACCTCCGCCACTTTTCGCTCCCTTCCTCTCTCTCTCTCTCCCACGACAAAGACGATCTCTTCTCTCTCTCTCTCTCTCTCTCTATCTTCGTCCAATGGCGGAGGAATTTTCATCGAGGAGAGGTGTTATTTTTAACGAAAAAGAAGAGAGAGAGGGAGGGAGGGAAGGAGGAAGGAACGATGGAGGAGCGACCAGGTTCCTGGTGGAATGGAATTATTATTTCCTGCGTTTTACCCAGAGAATTGTATTTATATTTGGAACGATCGTGCTTCGCTCCGTTGATCAGATGGTTGGATGGACGAGTTAAGATAAGTTAATTCGCCGAGGGTAATCGTCGAGTTTTGGATTATTTATTAATTATTTATCAAGGAAGGTTATTTCGAGGTTTCCTTTGTGTATTATAGTGTTTAGTATCGTTATTATTTTATTTCGAAGAGAGATGAAACGATAAAATATATTATGTAAAAGGGTTTGTAACGTTATACTACTTGAATTAAATTTCCACAGGATCGATCGTTTCAGTTAAACGTATGTGCGCGTATTTACGAAACCCCTACGAAACAATGGAAAAGATGGCAGCTGCGACTTTGTCAATTATCCACGAGATAAGGATACGAGATAAATACGACTTTGCGTTGCAAACAACCAACTTTTCTTTACCAGGGAATTTAATACGCGAACATCCTGTGGATGATTATATCAACGATAAAGAAACTTTACGTCGCACTTTTCTTCTCTTCAACAAACGATAAAAAAAAAAAAAACAAATTGCAAATATCAAATTATCTTTTTCTCCTTCTTCTATTCCACGAAACCACGTTTTTAATCATAATTCGACAAGAATATAAACGGATCATCTTTCTTTTCTCTCTCTCTCTCTCTCTTTATCTCCTCAATCAACACAATCACAAATGACCAAGATCCAAATCAAAACTGAAAAAAATTTACGTCGAGTAACAAATCATCCTGCACAGTCCAATGTTGCTAAGCAGCAACCAGTGCACTCTGGAACCAACGAGAGAGATTCAAAACGAAAATAAAAAAAGAAAAAAAGAATTTTACCAGGTTCCCAGGCGTTCGAATCGTGAGAGGGATCCTGAGAACGGCAACAAGGAAGAGACTAATAAAAAATACGCGCGCGCGCGCAAAAAAAAAAAAAAAAGAAAAAAGGAAGAAAAATAAATTAAAGAGAAAGAGAGGCGGCGTCGTTTTCGAGCCGATTCTCGAAACCGAATCATTCCAATGGGGGTTCGTATGCATAGGGGTGAGAAGGGGTAGGCCGCCTTGGACGAGCACCGCGGGCATCCTGGGCCCTCCCTGTGTTTTTTCGTCGTTTGTCTCGCCTCCGCGAGCGTCGAGATTAAGAAAATAGCGGGAGGCCCCCGCGGTGCCTGTGGGAACAACGGCCGAACACCGCTTACAGTGGGAAATTTCGTCGAATTTTTTAATTCTCCTAAAGTTCGATGCCGATTTTCATTTATTTTTTTCTTTTTTTCCTGGAAATTCGATAACGAAGATTCGATATTAAAGACGAAAACGATTATTTTATTTTTTGAAGACTATTTTTTGGAGAACTCGCTTTTTAGAAGAATAATTGTAACGAAAATTTTTATTTATCAGAATTTTATTATTGAAACACGGAAGTCGAAACAAGAGAAGAAGGCATTAAATTCTTTTTCCTGAAAATTAGATAAGATTCGATAATTAGATATATTAGATATAATTAATTAATTATAATTAATATAATAAATATAATTAATTAGATATAATTAATAATTAGATAAGATTAGATAAAATTAGAAGATTCGATATTAAACGAAGACGATTATTTTATTTTTTGAAGTTGGAGAACTCGCTTTTTAGAAGA